AATCGTAGTATCTCCTCAATCGAACGAATTCGATTCCTAATCACGACCCCCCCCCTCTGTCTTACCCCAGTACGACCCCCCAGGTCGGGCGCGCCTGACCCCACGCTCAACCCTGATGGAGACTGGGTAGCCGCTTCCTGGAACAAATGAAGTAGTTTTGAGCAAAAAACAAGAAGACAGAATGAACAATCGCACGATAGCCCATCTTTCCGAATACAAGGCGCAGAAAAGCGCTCATTCTTCAACCCCGCTTCGAGTTCGCAGTGCTGCTGATCAAAAAGGGAAGTGGGGTGGAGGATTAAGGCCAAAATGAGCGAAATCTGGAAGAAAAACCGTTGGAAACGGTCAAAATTCTCCAACTCCCGCCGTTCAAAACGGTGCGGGGCGGCTGCAGTGCATGCAGCACAGTGCTGGAACTGTTCCCGCACAGTTCCCGCACAGTTTCCGCACAGTGCGAGAACTGTGCGGGAACAGTTCCAGAACAAGGGAATCAGTATGAACGCAGCCTTATACACCGGAAGATAGGGTAATTTTCGGAGTGCGTGACTGACGCCTTCATCGGAAAATTTTTTTGTCGCCCCCCCCTCTCCCCCCCCCCCCCGAGCCGAAACCCTGGGTACGCCACTGCTTGATAGAGATTAAAAAAAAGAGCGCCCACCTTCGATCTTCAACAAAAACGCAGAGATCTTCATTAGGCTACTTTGGACGGGCGGCCTCATCTGAAACAAAATAGCGTAAACTACTGCTGTAAGATAAGCAGTGAATTGAAGTTTGTCAAATATGCTATACAGGATGTCTCAAGAAGATATGATCACTGTTTGATCGTCATTTACTTATTTGATTGAACGTCTTTCGCAGAGCTTGAGGTACCATTCCGTAGGGTGAGCCTAAGCTTATTATTAGATTTACACTTTGGAATTAATCACCATTCGCTCTTCATTATTGTAGGATTATGGTAGGAACTCATGATTACTGTCCATATGAGGGCCGCATATGTCGAAATTTTCCTGGGCGCTGCCTTTAAGGTCGTGCTGGAAGCCTCAATAATCTCCTGACTCTTTTGCGGACTTTTCGAACTGTGACCGGAAAGATCTAAAACTGCAACTCCACTTGGTTTGAGCTTCAGTCTTTTTGAGTATGATCGTTTCAAAAAACTAGAATCTGTTATTCGCTTTCAAATTTTAATTGAAATCCAAATATTTCAAAAATTTTGATTTCATTTTGAGAAACTGTTCTGGAGCATGTCAGTCCTTGCACGGTGTATTTATGTCGCTCCAAGTGAAGGAATCGAACACCCAGTATTCTCATAAGCCTCAGATATGGAGCACTAAGCTGCAATTCCACAATCCGGAGTGCTTAAGGTCAGTCTGTAGTAATATTTGTGCGCTTCACACGACCAGTGTAGCTCGTCAATTTTATTTTGTTGGCTGCTTTACATACTGAGTTACTCTGGAACTTTTTTCGTCATTTCCACCAAGTTTGAAAGGGCTCAAGTTTTGAAAAGTAACTAAGGAAAGATTTATGAGTTCCAGCATTCCTCTTCTTACTATTTGCCAAGTATGAAACCAAAAACTTGGAGCTTTCGAATAAATACAGAAAATTGCAGATTGTTTCATTTTTACTTTTTTTTCAAAACTCGCAATCATTTTTTTTTATTTATTGAATTTCGCAAACCAGCAAACAACCACCAGATACAGCAAAAACTTGGAAGTTTTTCTCGAAATACAGGGTGTCCCAAAAGTATGTATGCACTGTTTAATTGTTAATATCTCTCTTTCCAAGAAGTCTTTCGCCTTGCTTTAAGTACCATTTTGTAGAGCTGGCTTCAACTTAGATTTGCACCCTTTTCGAATCACCCATCTCTCTTCATTACTGTAGGATTACGGTAGAAACTTCAAAAAGGGTTTTGAGCCATGAAAGGTCATATTCTGCCTCAGAAAAGAAACAAAACAGCCTAAAAACTTTTACACTAAGCTAATTAGAGTTGCTGATTCTAATTGTAAAGTTCCCAACTTATTATGATGCTTCATTGAAGAGTTATGCCAGGTAAGATGTAGCGGCCATTTTTTCAATGTTCCTAAAAAGTGCCTTTACACCGTTTAGAAAGCTTCGCAATCTTATGAATAGTTGAGTATTGAACTCAGCATCCATAAAAACTCTAATACACAAGTTTTCACATTTTTTTTGAAAGATTTTGAAATGGTAGCTTTTTCCACATTGACACCATATGTTTCAAGTTCCTACTGCAATCCTACAGTAATGAAGAGCGGTCAATGATTCTCTCCATACTGTAACTCTAAGTTGAAGCCAGCTCTACAGAATGGTACCTAAAGCAAGGCGAAAGACTTCTTGGGAAGAGAGATGTTAACGACCAAACAGTGCATACATACTTTTGGGACACCCTGTATATAGGTTTACATGTCAAATTCAATAATAACTATCTGCGGTAGTCTTGGTTTCGATGATTTCGGTAAAAAACGGTTTTTTTTTTGAGTTTTTCTGATTGATTCAATCTTTTTGCAATTATTGTCGTCTCTAGACCGTGTATTTTCTTTGCAGATCGTCCTGGCGTAGCTCGTTTTTGGTAACTTTGAAATTACGAAATTTGAAGTGGTCAGATTCAACAAGTTTTTTGTAGGAAACCGCCAACTTTAAAACTGCTTGTAGTGCATACGTAGAGCAGACAGCATTCTCTGTCATGAGTGTCTCAAATCTTTATAATCTCAGTTATAAATTTTGAACAAAGTTAGAAACGCAAAGGAAAAAGAAAAGCTTTCGAAGTGACTTAGTACATCTTCTGGGGAATTCACTGAGTTTCTCTTGCCTAGAAGGAATGGGAACTGAAATAACACTAAAAATCCTTGCGGAAGACACATATGCAATAAACACACATAAGTTCTCGCAAATGTGCCTGGACACGACCACCTGTTTGTCTACATTGAATCTTCAAAGGTTTCTCGCATGTTGAGTCTTAAGGACAATTATGATCTGTATGTCACTGAACTAGATCCGGATGGTTATGTGAGGTACGCATCCAGCATGATCGTAATCGTTTCTAGCACATGATGGTTTTAGGTACAAGATTGTCACAAAATCTTACAGCTGGCTCATACAATTTCCCTATTTCTTCTTTCTTGGAATGTGTGCTATGTACTTTGCTCGATATTGAAGATCTTCGTGTAATTATGCTTTACTTTTTTTGACTCATTACTTGTTTCTGCACGTGGTCAGAAACTAAACTTGTGGATCAGAGCGTTAATCAGTTACCATGTCATGCTGCCACTACCTTCATTCGCGTGGTGAAGATCTGCCAAATTTATTGTTGGATGTATTAAATTACTGGTATCCAGTTTTCGCCTCTTTCTTGTTCGCCTTTTCGTTGTCTTTCTTCTCTCCTATTTTTTATTCGCATATATTAGGTCGGTCCGAAAGTTCTGGCGCATCATTTTCAAATAATCATAACTTCCTTGCCACTCGATGGATTTCGTTAAAATTATATATCTTCGAAAAGGGAATCCATTCTCTTTACATCAGTACCTTTGCCATGAACTGGTATTGGAAACTTCGAGAGTTACAAGCAATTGAAGGAAATCAGTCAAAATTGGCATTTTTCGAGCTGGATCACGAAAAATTCTGGAAGTATTTTTATATGATAGAGAAAATTATGCTCATTACAATGGTGTCTTTCCCATGCGCTAAGACGAAAAAGATCGAGGGTTAGAAGCAAATAAAGAGAATTCCTTTAGTTTTGCAATTTTTGAGCACGCTCAAAAAAGCCTAAAACCGTCACAGAAAATGCGAGAAAGCCATGAACATGGGTTTTGTGACCTTCTCTTTCTAGTTGAGTAAAAATCGTGCTAATCGAGAGCAATTTTGATTTTCGTGAAAAACGTAGGCCCGAAAATCCGACAAAATCACGAAAAACAAAACTGTTCTCGATTGGCACGATTTTCACTCGTCTAAAAAGATGAGATCGAAAAACCCATGTTCATGACTTTTCCGCCTATTCTGTGACGGTTTTAGGCTTTTTTGAGCGTGCTCAAAAATTGCAAAACTAAAGGAATTCTCTTTATTTGCTTCTAACCCTCGATCTTTTTCGTCTTAGCGCATGGGAAAGACACCATTGTAATGAGCATAATTTTCTCTATCATATAAAAATACTTCCAGAATTTTTCGTGACCCAGCTCGAAAAATGCCGATCTTGACCCATTTCCTTCGATTGCTTGTAACTCTCGAAGTTGCTCAAAGTAATTCATGCGGGAGAAACAGCTGTAAAGAGCATGAATTTCTTGTTCGAATGGATACAATTTTGTCGAAATCCATTGAGTAGCAGGGAAGTTATGATTTTTTGAAAATGACTCGCAAGAACTTTCGGACCAACCTAATACTTTCTGCCTATATTCGCTTACATCACTCCTGCTTATCATCGATAATACAATAAGCTGAAAAAAATTCATTCCTATACTCTGCATTTTGTTAAAACATCATTATGGTAATTGCCGCTATGTATCAAGCCGGACTTCGTCAAAATAAATGTTATGACATCGGTCTAAGAGATGCGCCAGACCCTGAGTAGAAGACGAAAATGTCCTTCTATTTGTAGGACTCAGATTTATAAACTGAACGAGCCGCGGCTATGTGCGTCTTCCACCAGTGGATCGTATTGTATTGACTTCAAAAAATCTGCTCAATTGCGAAAAATGTGTTTCATAATTTTGCGAAATTTCCTTTGACCAGCAAAACTGATGTGAATGTATGAGCATTGCTGGCTGAAAAATCGAATTAAAAAAAATAACGAGCTAACTGTTCTGAACACAGCGAACAACAGAAAGGTGAAGAACGCTTCCAATCGAATTCAAAGGTTTATGATATGTAGTAGCACCAATCAGCAAAATAAGACATAATAAGACATAATAAGGAGCTTTCAAGCACTTTTTGCTCTCCTAGTTCCAACACCCTTGTAAATGAATCTGCGTGAGTCGAGGCGCTATTGACCGTACTCAACTTCTCCCATAGGAGATATTATTTGTACCTTCGCGATGTCCTTTATGTATCTCAGGTACCTGAATATAACTTTGACGTGTTTTCGCCGAATTGGTAAAAATTAAAATACCTGTAATGTTGGTGGGGACCGTTCGTTTTCTACGCGTTGCGGCGGAGGTAAAACCACTGAGTGCTCCACTCCCACGGACGTTGGTTCAATCACTTAAGAAGAGGATAACAATTGAGTATTCGAAGTACTTGGATGATTCTGCAGTTTACAAAACTAGGAGTATGGTAATTTACACTATACATAGTAGGGGGTTGCATGTCGTAAGGACGCGGATGGCTATTGCTAAATTGGCATTTAACCACTCTTAAGGTAAGATGAGGCTCTAAATACTTTGTAGATTTGAGAGATAAAGCAGAAGTTCATATAAAAATTGTTCTTAAACAACGAATCAACTTTGGATTGTGGAAGAAACAGGTCATTAACTTTGGTAGCTACTTCGTCAGTATTTCACTCACATTTCGAGTATAAGCCGTAAAATTTGGCAGGTCATGGCATCAGAGGTCTAGCTAACCTATCCACCTTGTTTGGCAGTCTTACAAATTATCTCTACCAAGTTAAGATTCTAAGCCTGTTAGTGAAAGCCGGAAGAATTGCGTCTCAAGACAGCTCTCCGGATTATTGTGGTAGAGGCTATGCCTCTATATGTTTCAAATAAAAATTTTTATTTCCCTAGTCTCCACGTAATCAACACCGGGAAACAAGCACAGCAAACTGATCAAGCAAGTACATCTGCTCTTATGTATAAAGGAAATCACGGGAAGACTCGTATGCCTATTATAGAAATGGTCGCGTTCTAAATTTGTGGCTTCGCTACTAATGACAGACTCTCAGTAAGTACGGTGTCTGATTGCTTCTTTTAATGAGCAAGTGAAGCCGTGATAAGTACAGAAACTGCCATAGACTTCTGCCTACGATAAAGTTTGAAAAACCACGAGAAGCGTCAGCGTGTACTAGGTCATAATCCAGGTCCCAAGGACAATTCCATGGAAAGCGAAGGACGAATTGTTACAAACAAGACCCTTAACGGATCGAATTTCGAAGTCATTCAAAAGCCGTCAACGAAAAGTTGAGAGGAAGCAAAGCTTTGATAACTAATGACACTTTCAAATCCATAGAAAAACAAACGCGTATCAGAAATACGTCAGTAATTTCTCTTGCACTTGTAATCCTAAATTATAATTAAGCAGACTGATTACAGTATCGAATGTCCTAGGCTAAAAAAGCTTTGCATTTTCATTCTAAATCTTTTCGTCTCGTAATAAATAGTTCGGCTTTCTCTGTCTACTTTGGCTTCAGGAGATGTACTGATGAAACGTGCCTGCGTGAAATTAATTCTTGTGGAAGTTTACATGAACATCTGCCATAAAAAGTGTAATGTAAGGTGTGAATAAACAAAAAATGATTGCTGTAAAGATGTGGAAGTGCTATAAAAAGGTACAGCGTTGAAAGGTTCCTCAGAAAATTAAAAGTCCAAACAACCGCCACTGATTGAATATACACTGTGTTTTCCCAAAAGCTTAATTGTTTAGCAGCATAAAGAGCTACATTATAGAAATTAAATGAGTTTACATGATCAGCGTTTAGAGAGTCTAATCAGTTGGGATATAAAAATGAGGACCATAATTATTCCATTGCTATATCTGATATGTAGTTATACAGGGTGTCCTAGAATAATGAATCGAACGTTTGATAAGTCTCTCAAATGAGAAGTTTTCGTCCACCTTCGAACACCATACTGAGCTGGCTTCAACTAACTTTGAATCTGAAGCGGATTTCTGATGCTCATACTGAAGGAATAGGGTAGAAGTTTTTAGCTTACAGCGTCATTGTGGATTACTCGTGTTGAAAAAAACCAAAAAAATGTGTTTCAAAACTTTTACGCGCGCTGATTTTAGCTGTCCACTTTTTAAAAGTATCTAAAGCTTGAAATGATGGTGAAATGACAATTTCAGGGAGCATTATGAAAACGGCTCTTGCGATTCACTTGGCTTAACTCAAAAACGGAGCATTATGGGAAAGTGCAACATGTGCATTTACTACACCGGCTCTAATTAGTCTAGCGTAAGAGTTTTCAGGTTGTTCGGTTTGCCTTCTAAGGCAAAATAGGGCCCTCAGTACGTCAAAACCCTCTTGCAGTATTTTGCAGTATTCCTACCATGATCTTAATGTAATGAAGAGGGGTCGGTGGTTTGCTCCATACTGTCAATTTAATATAAGTTGAAGCCAACTCTACATGGTATTCGAAAGGAGGGGAAGGCTTTCCCTACAAAAGAGTTTTTATCAGCCGTTCGATGCACTATTTTCTGACACCCTTATGCTATAATTTTTGGATATCTGAACTTTTCTGAAATACTCTGCTACAATCTTACGACAAACACAGCAAAGTGATGAATGTTTCGAATTAGCCCGTGTTCGGCAGCTACAAATTTTTCCTATAAATTAATGATCTTCTAGCTTTGCCCGACTCATATGAGAAAAAAATGAATATTTGACTTCGACAGGATAACCTAATTACTACAAATCGTGCATTAATCACACCGCCTATAGCCTTCGCAATCAACTCCAAGACCAAAACGGGAGAGGTTAGGTTTTAGGTCCGGAATAAAGCTGACCACATTCCAGTTGCTTTCTAACTAACAAGGGAAGGATACTAACTTAGATTAGCCTTTGGAGAGACACATATATTTTGAATCAGCTGAAAACGCTGATTCCAAGTATGCTGTTCCTAGCTGCTTAGCATTATTCTGAAGAGTCATGGTCTCTTTTCTATGCAAAGTTTGGAGCTCCTCGACCTACTGATGCTACGGTATAGACGTCTAGATGGTTTCGCAATTGTAAAATAGTCCCTTTCAAGATCGAAAGAATTAATCTGAGGCTAATTCAACATCCTAGCATTTTTTTCGAGCAGATTCTTATCTACACTTCGTCTTACGACATTCAAAAGCTTGTTAGTTACTAGTGAACCAGTAATCAAAGGCGCTAGATTGCATCCGCGTGCTGGGACCGCCACGCGGTTTCCCGCTATTTGCACATTTTTGAATTCCGCTTACGATTCTTTATACAGGGTGTCCCAAAAAAATGTGAACACTGTTTGATCGTTAATAACTCCGTTGCTTTTATGTCTTCCGCCGAGCTTGAAGCACCATTCTTTAGAGCGAGGTTCAACTTAGATTTGCGGCATGGAGCGAATCACCGATCGCTCTCATTACTATAGGATTACGGTATGAACTTCTGGCATGTGGATCTATTGTGAAATATGCCATTTGACAAAATTTTTTTTGAAAAATCTGAAAAATCGTGTACTAAGGGTTTTGCGCACGCTGATTCCATAACGCACTTTTTTACGGGTGTTTTTAGCTTTTTTGACGGTAATCACATTTTTGACAAATGCTGGAAATTCGGTTATTAAGGTTTACTTGGGATAACCTTAAAAGGAAGCGTCACAGTGAAGTGGAAATTTCATATTCGAACTCAGCGGCTTCCATTACCCATGTATAAAGGTTTTTGGCCTGTTTGTTTTCGTTCCGAGGCAGATTATGGCTTTCAACGGCTTAAAATCCTTGTCAAAGTTCCTACCGTAATCCTACAGTAATGAAGAGCAATCGACGACTCGCTCCATATTGTAGATCTAAGTTAGGCCTCGCTCTATAGAATGGTGCCTCAAGCTCGGCAAAAGACATGAAGGCAAGAGAGTTATTAACGATCAAACAGTGTTCACATTTTTTGGGACACTCTGTATATTAGATTCTTTATATATTAGATACGCAACAACAAACCCGTAACTCACTTCAGAATAACGCTAAGCAGCTAGGAGCAGTATATTTGGAATCAGCGTTCAAAGCTGATTCCAAATATATGTGTCCCACCTCAGAGGCGAATCTAAGTTGGTATACTTCCCTTGTAAGCACCCACTTCGCTGTGTTAGGTGCAAGGCTCGGCACGAGCTGGCACCAAAAATTTGAAACGAAGTCCCTTTTGATCTTAAAAATTCCGTACGAAGTAAATTTTAACCTTAAGACCTAAACCAAAAAATCTAAAAAAAGAAACGTCAACTAAAAAAAATGTCGCAGTTTGTATCTTTTAGGCCACAAAAACGACCCCTTTGCTTTTTGTTCCAAAAACATATCCAGCTTGACACGGTGCCTGTTGCCGAGCCCTGGTTGGGTGGAGGAGTATAAAAAGCGGTGTCGTGGTCGACGGATGGGCAAGAACGGAATACTTGTAAAATGAAAAGAGTAGAATAATAGTATTAGTAGTAACTGACTTACCGTGGATTTTCACATCTGATTCTGCGTCCAGCATCAGTCGAAGACATGAACCGCACATGCCCATGAGTTCTTGATTCGCACTATACTGGAATGATTATCATTATAAAAAGACGCTTTTCTTTTGAAACTGTTTTTTACTGGAAAGACTTCGCGCTAAAGTCATACGTTACAAATTATCTTATGCTCCACTGTTGAAAGCTGAAATGTCTTTTCTTCAAGTGTAATGAATAACAGCTGGTATTTATGAGAAAGTTTATCACAAAATAGTAAAGCATAAATTATTTTTTTAGTAAGCAGATGTGTTCATTGACTGTTTCATGTCCTGAACCAGTAGTACAGAAATTTCGGGGTTGAAGAACTGCTCAACCGCCATGACTCAGATAAAATCTTTGCCGTTCTATTGAGCAATGAATTACTTGAGTCTTTAGCGTATTAGCTTACTCAAATTGAGAGATTTCAACTTATGATTATTTGATTTTACTAATCGAACCGACGTTGCTCATTAAGCTATTACGCCTGATCTTTTTCACAGGTAATTCAAGTGTGACGCAAGCGAATGAGCGTTAAGCTTAGGACAGTTTGCTAAAAAAATCAGTTTTTTGCAATTCTTTTCTTTTCATTGTACTAATGGGAAAATTGTCACAAAATGTTGCACAGACATTTCAAAGAGCAACTTCAAATGAGACTGCGAAATTTTCATTGAAGATGGCGTCTGTGGGAAGTTAGCGATTTCCTGCTGCTGAGCGAGATTACAATAAGAATAGGTAATTATCGAATATTCAAACTCAGGCTCTCTCAAAATGATTACAATTCTTATCACTTCCATATAAAACAAACACACTTTCGGAATCAAAGTCGAGCTTCTAATGCTTTTCTAGCTTGTTCCTGGGAATTTTGCAAATTTTCTCGTGACAAAAACTTCATCGACACCCATATGTGAGAAGTTCTCTCATAAAAAAAAAAGAAACAACTCATTTTTCTGCTTTTTGATAGACCGAGATAACTTAGAGTTTCAACGGATAGTTTAATTCGACGTTAGCATTTTACACTCAGCAAAAAATCTTGAGATGTAAGTAAAGATGAGTGAAAAAAAAGGACCAACCTTTAAAAAGTTACTGTCATGATAATGCAACACTGTAAGTGATGTGAGAAGTGGAAAAGATAACAATGAGGAGCAGCATTCACAGCATCGTAACCATGGTGACGGTTGTATTCGCTGGCACTTCGTGTGACAGTTGTATCCCCTGTGAAGGCAAAAAAGTTCAACAATGAGAGAACAAGATCAGATGCCGTGTATGATGTGGAAACGAAAAAAATTCGACGTAAAGCCTTCTAATTGCTGCAGAGGATGCTCCGAGAAGAACTCGTAAATCAGCAGGCAGTCCGAAATATTCAATGCAAAAATAACCAGCTCAATGGCTATTGAAAATGTTAGCTATTTCCATCATAATCCTCAGCTCAGCATAAGCTCTTAAGTGACGAAGAGATCAGCAATTACACGTTAATCTCTATGAAAAAACTTTTGATGCGATAAATAACAGTGAAAGAACGCACTAATCCCCTTGTGATTTCGCGGAGCTATTCCGATACTTGAACTATCATTATACAAGTTCTTTCAGCGTATTTGAGCTATTTCTGCTGAATGCTTCCTTCATTGTAATGCTTCTGTTAAGAAAAATAAGTGCAGAAGATCAGAACATCCACGATGCTATTGCAAATTCCTGAAAAAAAATTGGATTTATGGATCTTTTATTTGCTTCGACCATTCTCCTTTCCTCTTCTCAGAAAATGAATATAAGAACTAATATAGAAAGTGACTTTAGCCATGTGTAAATGAGGTCACTGTACAACAAATGAGTTTCAAGAAGAAGCTGTTTGAAGGCCTCATGAACTTCTCAGACAATTCACCGGAACTTCCGCAGGACAAGCAGAACTTGCAGCATTTCCGCAGCACTTTCTTAACCATTGAGAAAGTGCACGCTCCAGAATGCGAGGTTTCCGCAGGAACTTGACGTCACAGCGATCGTAAACCGGAACTTCCGCAGCACTTTCCATAAAGCGCTGCGAAAGTGCAGTGAGGCTCGCAAGGTTTCCGCAGCACTTTGACCCGCTAGCATTTCCGCAGGACTTTGGGAGCGCATGCTTTTGCGATTGCGAAATAGCAAACGCACAGCGCATAGCGCACTCTTTTCTTCCATACTGTTTCACTTCTGTTCCTCCTCTTTTCTTTCTCTTTTTTTTCTTTCCTTCAATGTTGGTGTCAATAAACCTGTACTCATCCATATTCTAAATATTCTTTCAGGCATCGGTGCAGGTGTGTGAACAACCATCACCAAGCTGCTGGAGTGCTGGAAAAGGACTCAACGGAGGGACTTCGTCCAACAACGCCCTTGTTCAGGTATGTCGAACTTCTTTGCTTTATGTGCGATTGAAATAATAACGCAAGTAATTTAAAACTATCACTTTGTACAAAATTGCACTTTAGATCTAAATAAAGCAAAGTGATTGGGTGGAAATATATCAAAACGAATGGGGAGGGGGAGAATAATGGGTCACCGAAATTTTCAAAATGATCTATAAGCTCTTGGTGAATATTAAAATATTTTCAAAAATTTTCAGATTCAAAGTATTAGGTGAGACCAAAAGTACGTTCGCCAGTTTTTCAAAAAATCGTAAATTCTTTTCGACTCGATGGATCTCTTTGCGTTTATATTCATCTAAGAGAGAAAATCATTCTCTTTACAACGGTATCTCTGAAATGAATTGGCTTAAGAAAGTTCGCGAGTTAGAAGCAATTAAAAAAATACTCAAAATTGGCATTTTTCAAGCAGGGTCACCAAAAAATTCTGAAAGTAGTTTTTGATAGAGAAAGCTATGCTTTTTACTAAAGTGCATTTTTCAAAAACAAAAAAGAGAGAATTGCCTCAGTTTTGCGTCGGGAGGGACGGGAAAGTCATGTGAACATGGGTTAAGTGACCTTCTCTTTTTAGTTGTGAGAAATTCGTGCCAATCGAGAGCAATTTTGATTTTCGATTACCGAGTTTTCGGATTTCGATTTCGGAAAAAAATTTTCTATCGAAAAATTTCAGAATTTTTGGTGACCTTGCTTGAAAAATGCCAGTCTTGAGTAATCTTCAATTGCTTACTCGCGAACATTCTTGAGCCAATTTGGCAGAGATACCGTTGTAAAGAGAATGATTTCCTCTCTTAGATGAATATAAAATCAAAGAGATCCACTCAGTCGAAAAGAAATTGTGATTTTTTGAAAAGCGAACGCACTTTTGATTCCACCTAATAGTTGTGGACAATTTTCGAAGGAGCTGTGCTAAAAAAGAATGGAGATGGTACAAAAATTGTAGCCGCAAAAATTCAACCATTCCTAAATTTTCTTTTGCTGGAAGTGGCCACACTCCCACGAATCCAAAAGTTTCAATCCCTCCCTCCCCTACCATAAATAAATTTCTCGCGCCGCCACTGCTTTTCGTGTGTCTATCCTTTTCTACTTTAGCATGCTAATCACCCCCGTGGGGGTGATCAGCATGCTCGATTACACCCCTCTGCCAAATTCCAGCCCCCTAGCTCAAATTTTGCAAAAAATCGATAAAATCGACATCGATCGATAACGAAAAGTGGACTGTGACACCCGCCGGGGCCCGAAGTGTATGTGTGCCAAGTTTGGTCCGGATCGGTTGAGAAATGGAATTTTCTATTCGGAACATACGGCGGAGCCGGGTAAGCCAGCTAGTGATTGAATAAAATAGAAATAATGTGATAATGAAAGATCAAAGCTCTTCTAAATTCTAAAGTTTGTCTAGGCAATCGAAGTGTGGCTCACTCCACGCCCCTTTTTGCTAAAAAAATCGAGGGCGTACAAAACTGGAACCACGAAAATTCAACCATTCCTAAATTTCCCTCTGTTCGGTATCTCACGCCCACAAACCCAAATAATTTTTTGTTTCCCCCCGCCTCCTCTTGAAAAAGTTTCTTGCACCGCCACTGCTTTAATGTATCTATCCTTGTCTGCTCCTCTGTTTTTGCTGTCTTAAATGCTTTTCTCTCTCCCAAATACTTTCTACATCTTCAACGGATCTGCACATGTTTATTTTCGAATTCATGTTTCCAATTGTACCTCCTGAAGTACCTTTTAATGGAAGCAAGCTCCAGAGATAGAAGCAGGAGAAGAAAATTACTCCCTTCTCAAAATTTCTGCGTTCAATCGTTAAATTGAAACTCGCAACGGAAATCGAGCATTATAGGTTTTGTAGCCTGCTCTTTCTGACTGTGCCAAGTTTGCGCTGATTGAATCCCTTTAAGAAAAGTTATGATTTTCGAAGCAAATGCCAAGAAAATCATGTTTACTCTTTTTTACGGCTTCCTCAAAAATCATAACTTTTCAAGAGACGTTGAATCAGCGCAATCTTTGTACACTCAAAAAGAGTAGGTAATAATAGCTATGACACCAGTTGCTCCGATTTTATGCAAGCAGATTTTTGCGACCAAACATAGTGAATATTAAAATGGAGTAATTTTCTTCACCGACTTCGATCTTTGAAGCTATACCTCAGGTACCATTAGAAACCATGTCTTCTTTCAAAATAAACATGTGCAGAACGTATGTGAAGGAAGAAAGTTTCGAATTTTTAAAAAGGATGGAGACGAGCTTTCGGTTCATTAGTATCATTTTCTGAGCATTAATTTATGAAAATTCAGCAATAATTTATAATAACTTTCCCTTACACATACCTGCCTTAGAGTCTGCCATATACCTGGTTTGTCTGGAAAATGGTGGAATATTAGATTGCAAAAGTTCTGCCGCTCCAAATTTGCAAATTCCAAAAAATTCAAGTCGAAACGAAGCTTTGATTTTTGCAGAAAACTCTTGTGATTTTCAAATCTGTCTCAGAGCTTCTCTTATTGAGATTTCGAAATTTCCCAAAATTTTGAGCGAATCGTTCTAATTTGCTCCGTATTTCTTGGCGAGAAGTTGCAAAATGGAACACTGCGGCAAGGCACGATCTACATTAAGAAATTTCACTTAATTCTCATTACAGAAAGGGAGGGATTCCGAAGCCGGCTTCAGTCGTCGCGTGGACAAGGTCAAAATGACACCCAATAAGTGGAAACGGTTTATTGCCCCACAGGACCATCTTCCTTTTGAAGCGCATATCCTTTGTGAATGATATTGTTATTCTTGTTTTTATCTTATTCTTCCATTATTCTTCACTTTTCCATCTGTATAACATTGCTTTCTAATTCTTAATATCTGCAGATTTTCCAAACTTATTCGGTTATGCATACATATTCGAATGCTTCTGTGATTTTATATATATTTATTTACGAACACTTCATTGATCTGCTAATTTGCACTTATCAACTTCGGCCTATTGTGGTTCTATATGGTACCTGCATAAAACAATACACTGTGCTATTTGCTTTCTCATTAAAACTATCTCGCTGTCTACGTCTCTTAGCATCTAGAAAATCTAGAGGAATTTCCACATCAAAGGATAATACCTTGGTGCGAAAACCTAGTATTGGAAAGGAAAATCTAGTATCAAAAAGGAAGTTTAATATGGAAGGAACGGATCGCGAATTAAAAGCGCTAAGTGCTGCGAAAATCCTGCGAAAGCGCTGCGGAAACCCTGCACCCTGAGATTGCAGGGTTTCCGCAGCGCTTTCGCAGGATTTCCGCCGGGTCACCTGCGGAAAGCCTGCGAAAGCGCTGCGGAAGTTTCGGCCAGTTGTCTGAGTGCTAACGGTTACAACGCAAGGTTGCTAACAAATCAATTGATTCGTTAGCAACCTTGCGTTGTGTCCAAGTGACATACTCACAATGAATTATTCATTCCTATAAGTTCAAACATTTTTGCCTTTCCAAGCAGACTGAGCATATCTTATGGTTTGGCGGTTTGCCAATTATTTAGTAGCGCATTTGAACATGCAAACTGTGACATGTCTTCGACACAAAAGCTATGTGCACTATGCATTTAGAATTCGCGCACGGTGGCCTACACATTTGGCAAATTACCAATTCAGGGATCACATTGCACTAGTGTATTGTAACATGAGAGTTCTGTAACTTGCTCTCGTCAGTATTTAAACTACCGCCGAAGCCGGCTTTGTCATTACGACTAGACTGCACCGTTTGCAAAAACTTTCTGTCTGAAAGTGCGAAATGTAGCGTTCCCGAGGTTTTTCTGCTCGCGCCGACGCCTCATTGAGACAAAGCATGACTCATAAGCGGCTATACAAAATGCTGCGCCGGATCGCATGCTCGGCATCTCTGCCTCCCCTTTGTTTTTGAATCTCAACTGTATACAATTTTTCAATTTGCTCTGAAACAGCATTGAATGTCTGAGTTTTACCGAATGAACGTGTGCGTATCCATTTAACGTGGTAAACGAGTAAGTTTGATGCGTGGTACTTAGTTACAGTGCCATCGACACATTATAGTTGAAGTACGAAAATTAACTGTGCTTATACGGATCCTGTATGGGTAGGAAATGCATTCGAGTCAAGGATTTAAGCAGTATTTTCACACTTAAAGGAAGCCAAGTTACTCGGAATAAATGACCGTCTTGAGTCCTCGTAAACTAGAAGGTATATTCTGGTTGAATTCTTTGACCTCCTTTGGGCTGTGTCAAAACACTGGAACATCTATTACATTCCGCGGTGTATGCTCTAGATACATGTAGGAGTTTTCTTTGAATTTTCTTATAGAAAAGAACGACAAGTTGCAGGAGGTACAGACAGAGGCATCGAAGATGTGCAATCGGTCCACCAACAGTCAGTGACGCCTATATATCCTCTACCAACTCCACCTCTAGCATACTGTAAGAGGGGAGCACAGTAGTAATACGGTTGTTCAGTCGGCACGGCGAGAAGCTGGGATGGAGATGAAATGGAGCAGAGTTGAAGAGGAGAAGACGAGGGAAGAGGGAAAAGAAGACAAAAGAGTTGAAGACGGCAAAAGAGAGAGGAGAAGATACGACGTCAACCGGAACAGTACAATCAACCCACGACGGTTCGATTTCTGCTGCTCTACATCATTGATCCACTCATTTATTCCTTGCCAATAAACCGACCTCCACATATTTATGCGCATGACCACTAATAAATACCAGCGGCGTACCGAGGGGCGCGCGCCCCCCTCCCCAAGAATGGGTCGCGAAATTTTTGAAAGTTACTTATATGGGTTATAAAAATGTGCAAGTGACTTGTTTATTTTTGTAAATAATTAAAATAATTTTTAAAAATTTTTAAAAATTATAACTAGCCTTGTAAAAAATTTTTTTTCGGGGGCGTGGCTGACGCCACGCCCCCTTTTTCTAGGTTTTAGGGGTCGGGGACTCGCAAAAATTTTGAGAAGCACCCCAAAAATTTTTTCGGAGTGCGTGGCTAACGCCACGCACCTTCTTTAGAAAATTTTTTTGTCGCCCCCCCCCCCCCCGAGCCGAAATCCTGGGTACGCCACTGATAAATACCCATCTCCTATCGTGTCCTGTCATCGCAAGTGTGGGCCCAATACTTACTAGCAGCGAGTGGTTTTGATCCAAGACCTCTGGGTTATCGGCTCAGACTCGAGATACAAGCTAGAACGATGCATGAACCTTACGAACAAGAGAGAGGATTTTATTCTGGCAGAGAAACATGTCACCTTCAATCTACAAGAGACGAGTTCTGGCATATGAACCCAAGAATTTTATGCATCATCACGGCGTCCCTGCTAAACATCACCGACAGAAGGGCATCTTTAAAGCTTATTTGAACGTTTTGATATGGAACCTAATCTGCTGCGAGGCCTCGCAGTTACTTAAACCAGTTTTCATGACAATGATGGCACGAGTGCTTATGGCAGGGCACACCTATATGGGATATCCACCAGCTAGAGCTTTATGCCAAGGGCTTGCGGTTATGCAATTCGTACTTCTGAGCACTCAGTGCATTGTAAATGTCCTACAGAAGGAGTAGGCGCCGTTAGTGGAACCTTACGGGCACATCCCGGCCCCATCTATCTCTCCCATATTTTATGCTATAAAGCGTGCTTGATCAGCGGTGTAAACGTGGAGTATCGACAACTTCCCCTCAAAATCATAGACCTTCCCTACCCATTCCTGCCATATATATCCGTGAACATCAGTGGAGACATCAAAGTAGCGTAAAAATAATGCACTCTTACTATACGAGATAAGCAATAAGTATTTCAGTTCTTCGTCACTATTCTGATTAGCAAAGGAATAACACTTGACGACATCGATATCATCATGTTCTACACGAACAACAACGATGTCTAGCATTCGCAGGTGTCCGCCTGTCATCTGTAGACGCATTCCAAGGATGCGAAAAGGAAGCATTAGTGTCATTGACTATCAAAATGTATTGGGTTGTTTCAAAAGTTCTACCCGTTTTCATACCTTTTTTTGAACTGCCGATTTTGGAGGAAGAAACCATTTTTCATAAACGCTTATATCATTCAAATGCTCTTCTTCTAGTTTTTCAGGCATATTTTTGTTTTCATAGATCTCTGTTCGCTGTGTGGTTGCGTACTTTGAAAAGACAGCGAAACAAATGTGAAAATGTTCGTCTTTGCTCTACCGCCTTGAAATCCACAGCCAAAAGAAAAATCTCTTTCAAATCATACATAGTGTTTGCTGGAGACTTGTCTACGAAACGCTCATCGAGATATGATTCCAGAAAAATTTTGAACCCACAAATTTTTAGCTCAAACATAACCTGTCTTTATGGTCCCTCACAGTTCGCATAAAAATATAAACATATTGCAATCGCAAAACTTTTACGCTATATAGTAAAATTGGAGCTAGAACAACTGCTAGAAGAACGAAAAGATCTCCTGATTTGTCAACGGCGAACAAAATCAAAAATGTCAAAAAGTTGCATTTTTTTGCCGCCTCAGAAAGAGCAAAATAAGTGGGTCCTTTCGGATTTTTCAGCACAAAATTTTTATGAAAGAGTCTGATGAAATCTAAAGCTAGCGGTACTGCTCAGTCGACTGTGGGCTACACTGTGAGCAGTGCTTGCGCATCTTAGCTGTATTCCAAATCAAGTCAAGCTTTTGCAAAGTGAAGGTTTCTACAAGGAAATGTTCCTCGATTTTCGCCTATAAAATCTTCTCTGCTGTTACTGCAATAAATTTGAAGAGTGCGCAGAATAGCCAAAAATTTGCAGATTGTAATACAGTTTATAGCAATTGCAAAGATTGTTTCTCAGAAGAGGGGTGAACCAAAGTCAAAGTTCGAAAACGGTAGAACTTTTGAAACAACCCAATATTTCTACCCCGGAAGGGCATTTTCTCAACGAGCCAAGAAGTATGGACGTCGCATTGACTAGATGTCGTCAGGGACAATTTGCATTTGGCCGCTATAAATCGCTGTAGAACTACCCTGTTGAGGGACGGTCACAGTGGTCCGATAAATTTATGCGGGCATTACTGTCACTGGCCCTGCCAAAGATCTAAAAAAGGTGAGGTTTTTACTTCTCTGAGTCACCTGCCCTTCTCACAAGTCCCTTTGGGACTTTTGAGTAGAAAGAAAAGGTGTAAGGGGAACACTTATGAAACTGTTATTTGAAGAGCGGCGCCATGGAGAAGCTGAAAAGATGATGTGGCGCCGAGCAAGTCAAAGAGAAAAATACGAGGGAAGAGAGAGGAAGACACGACACCACTCAGAACGGTACGCTTGACCCACGATGATCGACCTCTGCTGCTCTAATGATTTACTGACTTATTCTTTGCCACTAAGCCATCTCCACATATTCAAGATCTAATGAATACTTATATTCTATGTTTCTGCTGCCGCAAATGAGGGCCACACTTACTATACTTAGCAAATGCATATTCATTTTCTTGGAGGCCGTTCTTAACGACATGAGATGTTCGCCTAGCACCGGAAAGAGGAAACTCAGTGAAGCACATGGAAAACGGATTGACCAAGGATCAACTTTAGGAAAAGGAGCTAAAAAGCAAGGAAAAAAACGACCACGTGCATGTGAGAGCGGAATGCTGTTGGAAGAGAGGACACTGAGATGTGTCTTTCGTAAAGCCACAGAAGCCGATTAGTACGTAGCCCTTAGTACGTACAGCAATCCAGGGGATTGCTGTACGTACTAAGGGGAAGTACCGAAACAAGAGGCCTTGTGGAGGCATTTGCGACGTCACAACTGTTTTGAATACATTCGTGAAGGACCCTTCCGTCGCACCAATTACAGAATTCTTTGCTTTTACTGCAGAGTGAGGGGCCACTACTCACCGTCTGTAATCTTCCGGATGATGTGGCCATTAACAGAGAGAAAAGAGAATGCAGGGAAGAGATTTCAGTTTTCGAAATGAAAGACCAGCTGCTTACAACCACTACATGCTATGGCTATGACGAGTCAAAAGCCTCGCCTTATCAAGTATGGAGAAACCGAAAGACAAGATGAACTTATGATAACGGTAAGAGATTAATCATTTTGAGGAGGTAATTGAAAGAAAGGAGAAAAATAGCGAACGAGCTAGGCAGAAACGAGGAGATGGAAAAGCAGCTAGGAACATTAAAGAACAAAAAGGTTATTAGAAAAGATTATGTAACAAGTGTCTTACGATTCCCCAATTCAATGGAACATGAGTCAAACAAAAAAACCGTCGAGCAGTCCGAATGTTTTCGCGCATGTTAACAGAAGAAAGAGCAAGAGATCGATAAAATGGAAAGAGCATATGAAATTTTTCCATTCCGGCAGATTGGACATTCAAGCGGAAGTAAAGTTGGGGTCCATTGCGATCTCTGTTGCAAAATAGGGAGACACTTTTGGTATTTCTGTCCAGCTCGCGAGCGGAATAAGATATGGTGCAGATTTGCCTCGAAAACTGCACCGCACAGAGATTGTCCCTTCCCCA